GCTTTGGAAATAACACTCTACAATGGTCATTTAATAAGGCAATGGTTCATTTCTTTGCATTTGGGAAGAAATCATCTATTGCTCCATAAATAGCACCTTGTCACACACTGTATTTTTCTATTTGCAAAGTGGATTTACTGAATAGCATAGGTGACGGCCCTCAAGTTCAGCTGCCTTTAAAGCCAATTGCACTCCATTTTTAGAAGGAACACGCACAGATTTGATTGAAGCTTGTGAGTTGGAAGCGGGGGAGTGGTTCTAAGAGGCAGACCTTCCCTTAACATTTGTGGGGCCTGGGGCAAGAGTACAAATGAAGGCCCCCAGACCGTGTGTTTAAATATTTAAATGGTATAGATCAAGCTAACAGACTGTTAAATAAAATATGTTCTATCCTCTTTCCTCGACAAATATATCTTCATAATGACTTGCAAGGCCAGGTTTGAGTTTTAGATTTCTCTGAAGGTCCCCCAAAACTTATAAATCACATTTCTCTTCCCCCCCCACCATTGCTTGGTATTAGTATGATGGTGACCGGTAACACTCTCCAGACGAGATTTTGAATACACACATCCTAAAGGTACGTTTCAAACTCTGTACCTATTTATGATACGCAAATCATGTTTCTTTTTTGATAATGCTGATGACTGTCTCTATGAAAATGGGAATCCATTAAAATAACCGAAACCTCTGAAATAGTAAGATTTGTGCCTATGAAAAATGCTTTGACACAATTCAATTCCTTTGCCAATCTGGTTTTTGACCTGGTCTATTTAAATTCTGCTGGGAACGTAAGTTCACATCAAACTTCCACTGTAAACTGTAGGATGAGTAAAATGTGCAGGTTTGGCATACGAACTTATTTTTTTGCCTGACACATAACTGTTATTTTAGATTCGAAGGAATCTTATTGGTCAAGTAGATTTAATAATGGGGATGATATAATAGAAAAATTTATATCCTTAGAGAATGCACCTTTAGCAGTTTTATTTTATAGCTGATATTTTTATTTTTGCTTGGGTATACGATTCTTGTTTATCAAGACTCCACTTTCTTTGTTAAAATGTAAAATGCATGTTGGGCAAATGCTCCAGGGGCAATTTGCATAAAAAGTGATGACAAAGAGCAATTAGTACTTCATTATTATGCAGTGAAATGCTACTTTGCTCAAAAGTGACTGTAGTTCCCCCCCACATACCCCCTTATAAATCTGGTACAGCATTGTCCTAAAAATAGTACTTAAGAAACCTCTGTTTGTAAATCAGTGTCTTTGACTTTCCACTAGAAATCCAGGGGGAAAAAATCAAGCACTAAATAAAGTTATTACCCCAGATCTTTATAATGAAAAACAAGCACCAGAATTCTGTTAGGTAAGACAGGTCAGAAGATTTTAGTGTCTCATCAAATTAGTTCCATATCTTATTTTACCCCTTGGGATCGGCTTTCAAAGCAGGCTCAGATCATACATTGATAGCAACATCCCCCTTCCCCCAACCCACATACTGTCTCCCATGCACACTCAGAAACAGGGTCATGCCACACACGGCTGCACTGCAGAGACCAAACAGTCCCAAGGTATCTCTAGTTAGGAAGGCTTGATTTTTGAGTACAGATTTCATTACCATGAAATTCCTTTAGGGCGCAAAAAGAATTGCTTCAAAGAAACAGTGTGGAGAGGCCGACTTTGTAAATGTTCACCCCATCACCTGTGTTACCAGGCTCTGCCTGTCTTTAATTTGCAAGGAAATGCTCATTTTTTTTCTCTTGTTGAGCCAACACATTATCTAAAACTCTGCAAGGCAGAATGTGCCAACACTCTGTGTGTGTGTGTGTGTGTGTGTGTGTGTGTGAGAGAGAGAGAGAAAGAGAGAGTGAGAGCGAGAGTGAGAGCGAAAGAGAGAGAGAGTAAGAGAACCTAGTAATTGATTAGATACTGGCAGAATGAGAAGGAGACCTGGGAAACTGTGAAGCCTTTAACCTTTCGAAAATGACTTCATGAAGCTGGAGATGGACATGGATTATAATATTTCTCTTTGCAAGTCCCACAGCAGGCTTGGGTGGTGGGTCATTGCTAGGGGTAGAGGTGGGAGGTTGGTAGACCCTGCCTTATTTTCAGGTCCTCCTCTACCTGACCCTCTGTGGCCCAGACCCCATCAATGCATTTCCCACAACCACAGCCCTGGCCAGCATGGCTCCCAGATGACTGACCTAACCTACTTTGTTTGCATCGTAAGGGGTCTGTTAATCCTAGGAGGCTGGGATCAGCCTCATCACTTGTGATTTAGGCTTGGGGGCTCAGGGTTGTGTGTAGGTCTCTGAGAAGCAAGGGGTTGGGAGGACACTTGGGCACATTGCTTTATAAGCATTAAGTAACCTGAATAGCTGAATGTCCTTCATCCCGATTTTATTTACTCTCTCCTTTGTTCCTGTTCTCCTCAGGCCACCAGTGGACAGACTGTAGGGTCACATAGCTCCATGCCATTTCAGGGATTCATTGTCTAACTGGAGGCAATGTGTGATCATTTTATACGCTGCCACAGATTCATTATTCATACAATTTTCTATTAATTTTTCATTCATCCAAGTTCCTACTTATTTAACATATAAGGCAATTGGCCAGACATCTTCATAAACCTAAGAAAAGTGGCTCTGAGGTACTCTTCCAGAGCGTCCCAATCTATTAGCTGCCTGATGAGACAGTACTGCTCTTAGCCATGGGCAGGACCCCTGCCTTGGACCCCCACACCTCATACATCCTCACGATTTAGATGCCGTTCCTCAGCTGCTACTGTCTATCCAGCCTGTGAACTGACCAGATATCTAGAGAAGTTCCGGAACTCATACTTATATACTGTTTTAGAGCCAAAGTGGGGCCTAATTCAGGAGAGCAGCTTGGTCAGCATATGTTCCCACTGACACTGGCTGGCATGTTATTTCTTCTGTAATATTGCATCATCCTGACCTGTAGAGTGGTACCGACATGCTGATTTGGGCTAACGCTCATTCACGGGAGATGAGGAAGACAAGAACATTCACATGGGGCAATAAATAAATACCCATTATTCCAAATCTTCATTAGTTAATCACTATACCTCATGTGGGTTCATTTTCCAATAAAATTGCTGATACACACAGGCACCTGCAAAATGCAGTCGCCCAGGACTCACACTCCCTGGGGATAGCCATATCCCGGAGAACCATTGTAGATTCTCGGACAGGGGCTGACGCAGACCGAGTGTTTAGCAAGGGAGACACTGGCGCTAGAGAAGAGCGGGGAGAGAGCTGTGGCATTCACAAGGCTGAGAGGAGCCAGTGTGGAGAAAGGAAAATACCCTAGCTTGAATACCTCATTTCCTTTAGGGGTCTCCTAGCTCTCAATGTTTGGGCTTCTAATGTAGGGCTGAGGCAGTAAAGGCTTCGGTGTGATGCTACCAGAGCCCACAGAGGAAGGAAGTGAAGAAATATTTTCACGTAATGTCAGTGCTGGTAAAAGTGATACCTCATGTGGAACTAAGTATCATCCTGACACTGACATCCTGACACACACGGCCTTGTTCAGTCCTCCTGTCAGTCTTCACTATTCACATTCTCCAGATGAGGAAACAGAATTAGAGAAAAGTTGAATAACTGGCCAAGGTTAAAAGCTGTTATTACTGGCAAATTGGGTAGAGGAGCTGAAGACATGGGAGGAGTCCTAGGTGTCTCCAGGTGTTCGAGGCTGGAGGGCAGGGAGCACAATCTGAATGGGTTTATGGTGAGTTCACTTGCTTTGTTTTGTCTTCTCATGGGTTACAGTGGTGAGGGCATTGAGAAGATGAGTAAGTAGCTCTGATTGCAGGTCACCTGAGTAGTGCTGTCATGGAGAGATCTGGAAATAACCCCCAGAGACCAGATGAGTGGTTGGGCTGGAGATTGTGGATTTGGGATCATCAGAGATGAGAGGGGCAGTTTTGTGAGTGGGAGAGGCGACTAACCTCTGGGATGGAGTGGGCAGAATTTCTTAAGAGAACCAGCTTGGGAGGGAGAGCTCCGTGGGCAAGACTCCAGCATCAACTCAGCAACTAAAATCCCCAGCCACTTTTGAAGAGCTGTTCTATTATATACTTTGGTCAGCAGCTCAGCTCCATATTTTCACCCACCAGAATGTTCAGATCAATACTGTCAGTCCTCATGATTTACTGAACCTGAATTTCTCTAACTGCTCCATTAACTCTCTGGAAAGGTTTCTCCCTCTGTTAGCACTGGATTATGATTTTCCATAAAATTTGCCCTTGAGCAAGCATTCTCTCATCATTCTCACTAGGGAAATTTTCTCCCCCTGCTCCCCACCCGGGTCCCCACCAATCCCCATCCTTCTTCACTTTCTTTGGAGCTTTGTTTCATGAACCTGCATTTTGCCTGCTAATTAGTATTTTTGAATATACTTGCTATTGAGCTTGGAACCTATGGGTTTTTTTTCATGGCAGTTTGTGAGTTCCAAATTCTTTGTGTCAGTTCATAGTTCCCTAACTTTGTTATTAATTTAGGATCTTCTTCTATGCATAGTAGAGGCACTTTGGTGCTAACGGGCTTGGCGCTGTGGCCCTAGTCTCCACGTGCCCAGTCCTGTGTTCATGTTCATAGTGTTGCTTCCCCGCATGCTGGGCACACTGGGGTCCCGTGGCCAGACAGCCCATCATAAAAGGTGAATTCACACACAATGTAGCCCTTTGTTCCAGGGAATATTTTGTTCCTCTGATCCTCAGCTTCAGCATCATGAAAAAGCATTTGTCAAGCCCTTAATTGCCCGAGTGCTGCACTAAGCACTCCATAAAGAGGTTCACTGCCATGTCCAGCCAAGAGTGACAGAGCCAGGCCTGGGTGTGGAAGGATATTGCTATGGCTCTGGCCCTCAGACACAGAGTCTTGCAATTTGACTGGAAAAATGGTGTCTTTCCAGGGATATCCAGCAACTCGGAGATACCTGAGTGGGGGTGGGGCGTGGAAGCTGCAGTTCATGCGGTATACAGGAATGTATAGACAGACACCCCCAGAAAAGAGGAAGGGGGACAAGCTGTTTTTCCCTCAGGAAGCCTGAAGGGTAAGCTCCTAAGAGGAAGCAACAACATCACCAAGTGGCACCCCCTTCCTCAGTTTGCCAGGGAGGCGAGAAACGTCAAAAGTCTCTACAAGTCATATCATTTGGCTAAGTGTCAGCATAGCGTTCTTGCCTATTAAAGCCAGTAATCTAGCTTGGAACGACACAGACACATATATAAGAGCATAACACATGATCACATAAAAGGCATAAGCAAATAAAGAAGTAGACACACATGAGGGGCAAGGGATGGTTTGTATGTGGAAGGGGAGGGGTGCAAAAGCCACCCAACTGAAAGAGTGCGGGGTGGATTAAATGGGTTAATCCATGAAGTTAATCCTATATATGAGCTATATATATATATATATATATAGAGAGAGAGAGAGAGAGAGAGGGCATGCGCCTACGCAAGACAGCTCGAGAGACCATGATATATATATATATATAGAGAGAGAGAGAGAGAGAGAGCGCGCACTACATAAGTGCTATATATGAGCCTGTTGAATGAATGAATGAATGAATGAATGAACAAACAAATCAAGTCCAAGTTAGTAAAACTGGAGGAATATAGCAAGTGATTTCTCTCTCTTCCCACACCAGATTGGCTGCCACAGCCCTGGATGCACAGTTCAGGACTGGGGAAGGTTCAGCTGCACAGAATGTCCTTGAAAGGCTGCCCCAGACCACCTTGATGAGGCACGTGATTCATCTCCAGGTAGGTGCCCCTGTGTGATGTGGCACACCGTAACACAGGTAATTCTCTTAGGACAGTTCCTAAGGGTGGAGAAAGGAAGAGGACATTCCCATTTTGTTTGCTTTGCTCCCGATCCTGGCAAACTAACTCTAAAGGTAGTGACCACTGGGTCCAAGTATGTATAAATGATAATACCATAAAAGGATGTTTAAAGTAAAAGTTTTATGAAGACCAAAGAATTTGTTAAAAAAGCTTGACCTTGCTCTCTGTCCTAAGATTGAACAAAGGTGTGGATTTTGATGTCAGGTTTCAGTCTCTCATCACACAGAAATTGCTGGAAGCCTCGCTGGTCCTGTCCAATACTCAGATGTGTCCATGTCATTCCTGTCCTTGGCTTGTCTGCCTGTCTTTGTGGACATTTGCTTCTTGACTTCCCTCATTGCCTCCAGAGGGTCCTTGGTCTTTGCTGGCTAATGGTGAGCACTGGGGCAGGATGCTTTGACTCTCTGCATTCCTAACCTGGGCCTTCTCAGTGTGTGGTTTCTCTGGCATCTGGGTTCTTATACTGTGACTGCAGGAGGGCAGTTTTAATGCCCCTCAGGAGTTGCTTGGATCAGATTTCTGGATTGGGTAGCCTTGAAATACTTTCTGCATTGTGTTAGGAAACATTCTCCAGGCTATAAGAGTATAGAGAATCACCATTGACTACTCAGTAGCCAATGACAGATGATTTCCAGGACCCAAACTCTCCTCTGATGGGTAGAGCTCCCCTGGGGTTCACAGGGATCCCAGCTGTCCAACTTTAGTCACCTAGAGAGAGTTGAGAAGGTCATCCTCACCTGGGATCACAGAAGTGGGCAGATCCTGTTCAGCCACGTGGCTGAGAGTCTACAGACACCATCAAGTTCGTTAACAGGTTTATCTCTGTCCCGAGACAAACATATGAGTTTTGAAATAGTAGAGGTGTGTGGGGTGCAGGTGGGATGCGTGTGGGGTTTATCACAGGGAGACCATTGCACAGATTCTGTAATTCCTTCCTTTGTGCCTTGTTGGATACCACAGCCCTTTCTCTGCTATCACCAGTCCTTGTAGGTCATTTTTCTAGCTTCACATTCACCTCTATAACGTTTTCCCTGGTTAAATCAAACATGCTGTCATGACTTTCGTATTGATTAATACCCTTCTTGGTATTTTAAATTTTCCTACGTATTGTGTGATATGATGTTTATCCCACAATAAGCATACAATTAAAGCATGTGACTTAATTAGTGATATACCCAGTTAACGTTATTGATGACACTAGTGAGCCGTAAAACTAAACAATTCTGTGAAGCAAACCGTGTTATCCAAGGCACGACAGGGAAAGGGAAAATGACTAGCTCCGTCAGTTCTCTTTAGTGGTAGATGTGTGGAAAGTGGTATATTAATATACACTTGCCTAGAAATAGATATTGGTAGGGAGATCACAATAATTTTGTAGAAAAATACTATCACATCTGCTAACTCCTTTCTTTGGAATCTCCTCTTGCTTTCTAATGTGTAATATATACTTTTTAAACTTTCAGTTACCAGAAAGGAAGGTTCATGCTCAGGGTATAAGGGCATCCACTAACAATGAGTGCTTGAGAATAAATATGAAATAAGAAAATGTATTAGAAGGGCTGCTGTTCACTCAAGGCCAGTGTTTGTGGACCTTTGGGAGGAATAATGCTCTGAGGACAGGACCCGTGTTCTAATCGTACCTGGAGTGCCAGCACCCGATTCAATGCTTTGCTCAGAGATGTGTGTGGAAGAAATGAATGGATATTTTAATTAGCTTGGGTATCATGTTTTTGGCGCCTATGGGTGTGACATATAGATTGTGATCTCATTTATAACAGAAGAGAATGATTAAGCCAGAATAAATTTTGTGCTGTTATTTTTTTAAAAATGACATAATTTAGCTTTATAAGTTGTAACAATTTTAAATGTGTATTGTTGGTTTTTTTAATTTTTTTTGTAAAAATAGTATAACAGTTATAGTACTAGCATATGTGGGTGTTAGGCACTGCTTTTAATTGAAATAATTCTAACAGGAAGATATTCTCATTTTATAAATGGGAAAGCTAAGGCACAGAGGAGTTGTGATTTTTCCAGGGCTAAGTGACAGGGATATAATCTGAAGCCAGGCAATCTAGCTGAAGAATCCAGGGCTATTAGCCAGAAATTTATATAGCCTCATATGCTGGTGAGAATCTATCCATACTGAGTACAGATAGAGACTGGTTTTGTACCCAGTCATAAAATAAATGTTTATTTGTCTATCAATTAGGTACAATATGATGGTGATAAAGTTGGAAAGGATCAGGGACACCCAAAGTACTTGTTAAAGTCATTTAAAAAATCTGAAGAACATCAAAAAGAGAAAGGAACAATGGCTGTTTATAATCTGCCAAATTATTAATGTAGGACAATGTACATTTTTGTCCTAGTTGAAGATAAAAATCCTAGCAAAGGGACAAAGAAGAATTGAGCAACCGGGAGGAACTTAAATGGAGATTCTCCTGGGAGATAATAACCTGGACACATTGTCCATTATGAGTGGACTAAAATCATAGAATACGATCTTTAAATTAACCAGGAAGTTAATACATCTCCTTGAACTGATAAATTTCTGAGCTAAGATAATCAGCAAGATGGGACAAAGAGACCATTAGGGCTGTCACTTACACATTTTATTAGGTGAGAGAGAGTGCCCTTCCTTCGAACTTATAAGAAAAACACAGTTTTGATAAAATACAAGATATTTTGCAATGTATTTCAATTAGGTTTTATAAAAATGTTCTAAGGAATAAATATCTATAAAAGTATGAGGAAAACCTGGAAGGATTTCATCCTGCAAAACTGTGTGTAGGTAAGTTTTAGCACCTCCTATCATTTAAATGGGGGGAGGGATATATATATTCTAGATGGCATTTTTGATCTTTTAATTCTCCAAGTTGTTTCTGGTTAAAAACGTCTTTTAATTTCAGTTTAATAGCCATAAGCCTTTTTGAAATAATAATGCCTACAGCCTCAGGTATATGCATTAAAGGTGATGGCAAGCTTGAAAAAAAAAAATCCCTTTCTCTGGTATCAGGCTGAGACCTCACTTTGGGAATTAAATGGATGTGACAGGGGATTCAGGCCTGTGGTTTCAGGAGTCAGTGGTGCGGTGTGTTGGGCTCGGCTCACGGTGCTGGGTAGTGTCTGGCACTTTCCTACATCTGACCACTGTTTCTCCTGTTGGTCCTGTTAGTAAGATACTGGTTTATTTTGGCTGTGTAACTGCCCAACAGTGAGCTATTGGAATGAGAGGAACACTGGTGTGAAAAGCACCTTTTCTTCATGGAATTCCTTATTAGTCACTTATTTCATTGACACATAAGAAAACCCCAAACCATAATGGTAGCACTGACCTGGTCATATGGACACTTTCCCTGCAGCCTCTCCTCCTTCAGGACTGAGGCACCCATTCCTCCAGCTGCTGGGAGAACCCCTCCCAGAAATTGCCTTTGGATGAAGGTCAGCCTGAACCTGATGACTGACAGCTGGGGATACAAAGGTCCTGCCTCTTGGCTTTGCTTGGGACAACTCTGCTGGGTCATCCCAGCATAAAAGTGCCCACGTGGGGTCCGCTGAGGCTTTTGTTGTGACTAAATGCCACCCAGCTTTTCTTCCTGCTCAGTCCGGCTTGCTTCACTTTCCCACAGATGGGGTTCCTAAAATGCTCCCCAGTAAACTTCCTGCATCCCAGTCTGTTTCTGGGAGACTCAATCTGTAACCCCTGGTGACATATTCTGGATGTTAAAGGATGAAGGATGAAGATAAACTTTGGAGAAAGATTCATACAAACTTTCATAAGTTCTTTGGATAAGAGTGATATTTTTCTTATTCGCATAAACTCTTTCCCTGATGTCTACCTTCCCATTTTTTTCCAACCTTGATTGATCCCTAATTCACACATAGGGGTTTCCAATGGGAGATATAATTTGTGCGCAATGTGAAAAAATTCAAATACTGAAGAAATAGGTATACATATGTGAGTTGTTGCTGTAGTACGCCCCCAAGATTGCCATCATGTAGAAGACCCAGAGTAACACTCTGCATCCCCACCCAGCTCTGAGTGCTGGCTAGTCCTTTGCACATGACACTTAACACCTTGATTCACATATCTGAAGATGAACGGGCATTGGCAATTAGAATAATAATACTATTTGGGATTAATTTACAAAGCACTTTCCGTCTGTTATATTGATTTATTTCTTGGCATCCTCGAGAAAGTTTGGCCATGTGAGCCCCACTTTATAGATGGAGAGTAACTTGCTAAAGACACTGGGGTTTGGAGAAATTTCTTTCTGACAGGCTCTAACTTCAAGGATCAATCAATGGGCCCAAGCCCATCATTCAAAGAAAACAGCAGAAAAGACGTGGTGTTTTGTGAGAGGCACATTCTGAAGTCTCTGTCACTGAGAGACGGATGTAAGCTCGGGATCAAAGCGTCATCTTCAAAGAAGGGCGAAGTACTTGTTAAATAACTCCTGGCAACTGCTTAAGCACTGAGCATTGTAATTGCAGAGAGCAGGAGCAGAACCAAAAATAGAAAAGTGGATAAGGACAGGACCAAAGACATCATTGTCACTCAAACTTGAATGTCACTTTTTGACAGCATTTGAGTAATTGATTCTTGGTTTCTGCATGCTCAGAATTCAGTAGTCACACTTTGTTGTGACAGCCCTAGGAGAAGGGAAAGGCCAGGACCCTGTCGGAGCCTGGGATTAATGTGAAGAATGGAGGGTAAGAATTATTATCAGCCTGTGCTACCTCTTCTCTAGTTCAGGTCCCTTGGAAAGGAAAGAAAGCCACTCGGGCTAGCCCCAATTTACAGAAATGTTAGAGGATCTCATGGGCCAGACACACAACCAGACCCTGCTAACAAAAGGCTAGACCTGAGAAGTAGAAGGCTATTAGGAGCTAACCCTCTCTCTCCGTTTCCTAGAGTT